CATTGGTTAGTTGGTGATTTGATATCTGTGATTACTCCATTCCTCTCCGTCCGAGAGAGGATAATCTGTACTAGAATCAACAGGAATTTAATCAATTAGAGAAGGAAACATTCAAGGCATTTGGTAGAATTGATGGTCAAAGTCCGTTCTTTTACTTTGATGCCGGAGGAGTAATTGAAGAGGTTATACACAATGTAAGCTTTGAAATTGTTCAGCCTCAATCTGCTTCTTCTTTATTGGATGCCATCGATGAGGAGGGAAAGAAGAGCATTGTGAAGGTAACGAGGCAGGAAGCAAGAAGTTTTTTTTGAATGGAAATTAATAATTGGCGCGGTATGAAATTAACGACAAAACTAGCCGTTACATTTTTAAAATATTAAATTTTTTAAATTTTTAGAACAAGAAGCGGAAAAGAAGGACGACAATTAACTGCGCTTTCTAGTAAAGAAGTAAAATGTGTGAAATTATATTGTTACTAGTAGGAGTCAATTTCGTTTCATTCCGAGGAGCTTGATATTTATTTTCCAACAAGAAAAAACTAACCAGACACTTCTTTCCCATTCAAGCTTACTTTCACCTCATACAATTTCATCATGATTCCTTAGCCTTTGATTACCATCATCATCATCATGATCAATTAGATTACGATAATCTTTACAGCTGACTATGATGATGGAAAAGATGAAAAAGACAAACAACAAAAAATGACCATAGATTCGACTTGGTCCCAACTCGTTGATATGTTGATCAAGGATTATTATTCAACATCATCATACGGAACATTTTCATCTATACTACACAACAGTGTTGGTGGTCAGAATCATCATACGGATCAAAATATAGAAGAATATGCATCGACAAGAACTTCATGGTTATTATCATCACTATTTGGAAGTTTGTCTTTTGATACCAATAATAATAATTATGTAAATTATAATAATGATGGAGAAATGTATAATAATAATGGTGGATATTCTATTTTACAATCAGTGTCGAATACTACAGCTACACAGACAGTCTCAGCTATTTTGGATCATTTTCCTCCGTGGATGTGTCTTGTTACCTTTACTTTGATTGTTGTCTTTTTCATTATTTGTTGCATACAAACCTATAGGATGAGTAGAAGGAAGGGAGGATCATTCGTATTGGGTAGAATTTCACTCAAGAATATTAAGAGAATTCTCTTTTGTTGTTGTTACGATTCACAATCACAAGTTTTATCGTGGAATATTCCTCTTCAATTTTCCTTTCAATTTCTCATTACTTTTGGGATTAGGACATTACATGCCTTCTTTTTGCAATACTTTTTCGAGAGTACTTATGAACATACTTGTTTCCAATATCTTGACAGTACTACTGGAAGATTGAGAAGAACTTGTCCATTGATTAATGTTGTGGACTCGGCAACTTCTATCATGATTAAATCAACTTACATTTTGTTGGCATTGTTTTGGGCAGAGTTGGCCTATAATGCCTCCTTCTATTACAAACCAACAAATTGTAAGAGAATGGAAAGAATTACTAGAAGACTATATTGGGCATTCATTGGATTGTACTATTTCTGTGTGAGTTGTGGATTTATTGGATTGACATTGACTAGAACTAATCCTTCCTATTTCCTTGTAGCTATTATTCTTGTATTTGATATTAGTATTCCAATATTATTTATTGCATTCACATTTATATTGAGAGGACTTACACACAAAGTTTCTCTTCCTGTAATTATATCAAGACACTTGAAGAGAGTGTCAATTATCAGTTTAATATTGGGATTGTATCTTGGAATATTGCCAATTGTGAGAATTATTAACATGGTATTGAAGAATTTTGTTTATGCTTCAAGTGGATACAATGCTACATCCTCCATTTTGGAAGTTATCATACAGGCACTCTTCCTCTACTTGCCATCTATTGTAATTTTTGGAATTGTTGTCGCTCCAACAAGTATCAGTTTCCTTCATGCAAATGTTGTTGATAGAAATATTAAGGCCAATAATTGGAAATCCAAATGGAAAGCCAAACAAGCTCTAACAAGAGGAGAGGATGGATTCTACACGAGTAATGAAAATGATTATATCAGAACAGGACTCGATGGTGTAACGTTGGGTAATTTCGATTACAAGGAAATTAGTTTGGAAGAAGATTCACGAGCTGTTATTGGTGGTGAATACTAAAGGTAATGAACATCATTAAGGAAAATATCATTGAAACATGCGCCGACCTCGCTCATTAAACAACATGAATATTATCCAAATCTAATCTCTTCGAAACTATTCTATTGGTTTCATCGACTGTCAATATTCTTTTTTTCTAAAACTAAACCTGTCTAAACCGTATGACTACCTATCAATGGTGGACAATATTTCCAATGAGAGGCCTTCACGTCCAGATTAGGATAGAATTAATACCAACCAAGTTGACTAACAAACAAAAAAGAATCAAAGAAAAATTCATCACACCCAAAGCAGAGTATCGTCATGACCAAGTCTAATCATCACCAACACATTGAAAATCACACAACAAGGCTTCCACTCACTGCCTTGTTATTTCCCACTACACCTCTGCAGACACTTTCTATTCTAAACATACCTAATGTCAATAACAACACAACATTTCGAAAATTTTAACAATAACAACCACTCCTCACAAACCAATGTGCAAAACACTGCTTCTAGTACCTCAACAAGTGGCAGCAGTCCAAGAAATAACTCTCACAGAATTAATAGACAATCATTAGAATCTAGATGGAGACTCCGAGAACGTTCTAGAAGATATTCAGTTGCCTTGTCAACTAATAGTGGTGGAAGTGCTAGTCCTCCATCAACTTCAACAACTTCAACCTCTGCAGCCAATAATAATAACAATTCGAATAATGATTCGTTTGTTTCTTCTCAAAGTTTTGGATCCAATGAAGAAACACAGCCACAACAGCAACAACAATCAACACCAAGCTCTAGAAGTTCCTCACTCTTTGATGCTTCCCAAATTCAGAAAAACATTAAAAAGAGAGGCAGTAGTTTGGGAGCTAATTTCATTTCTGGTCGAGATAACAAGACGAATAGTGTTGATGGAGTGGTTTTTAATGGAACTCAGAGAGATACCTCTCTGTCACTTGCAGTAATGGATTCCTCATTGGCTAATGGTCCAGTTTCAATGACCTATGGTTCTGTTGATGCATTGAGAAATAGATTTTTGGACTTTGTGAAATCTTGTGGAAGCCAATCAAAACATTTGAAGAATCCACAATTGGATGAAGAGTTTGAGGTTAAATTATTGTTTATGGACTATTTCTATGATGGAAGTACTAGAAAACCATCAAAATTATTGAAAGATGTGCCAACTGTTTTGACCTTGTTGGATGTTTACTGTCATCATTTGGTTTTTCATTTTGATGATTGGCATTCACTTCCAGAAAGTGAAGATGAATATCCATATTTCAAACATATTGTGGAAACAGTCATTCCTGATAAGGAAAAGTTCAAATGGATGAATCATTCGAGATTTGAACAATTTTTAATTGAAAAGTATCAAGATGCCATCTCTAAGGATTATCCACCACTTCGTTCTGATGAGATTTTGTTGAATCAACAAGAAACCAAGGAGAAGGAATCATCTTTTTCAACTACTACTGAGCAAACCAACAATTCATTGGATAATCTCCATGCTAGACCAACCATTAGTTTATTACCTGAAAATTCTTATCAGGAAACTGAGGAATTGAGAAGAGACAGTGTTGCCAGTGATGATTCAAGCACTTCTGATAGTAATGTAGTCATTACTGAGAATAGTTCCAACCCAATTCCAAAACCAACGCACAGAGTTGGTGTTTTGGAGGAAATTCACATGTTATGCGACATGTTCTTCTATGAATTGGAAGATTTATTTGTTCTCTATCAAGAAAAGAATCAAAACTATGTTCACAAATGGGTTCAACTTGGTTTAAAGAATGGATCGATTCCAACCTATGTCATTGAAGTGTACCGTAAGAAATTGGAATATAACGAGAGTACGCAATCTCAATTCACAGTTGATGCCAGTGATTTTGTTTCACAACATGTCATTGATAAGGATTGGAAGTTTTTGAGATATATGTGTAAGGAATATTCACCAGATTGGTATTGCTCTTACAAGGATATTGGAAATGTTGTGCAGTGGACCACTAAGAGAGATTACACAACCGATAATTTGAAATTGAGAAACTCCAAAATTGTTGGTTATATTAATTTGCCAATGGAGGATGTTGTGAAATCCTTCTCATTTGATCATCATTTTTCATATGCCTTTGAGAATATTGAATTCCACAATTATCATCCAATCAATGCTAGTAATTCATTGCACAAGTATCCCTCTGCAACAGTTTCGGGTACATTCAATTTAAGTTCAGTCTTCTCAAAGAGAAGTATAGAGCAAGTTATTTCATGTAGATCAGTATTTGTGGGTAACGAATTGACTGAACACATGATATTGTTCAAATCATGTGATTTATCACCAAACGAAAGTAGTAACTCCAAGAAGGGAAAGGTTAAATTCATGGGTCTTCGTCTCGTTTCTAAAATTGATAATAACAGAACTAGATATTGTGAATTGAGGTCGGGAAATCTTGGGGGTGTTTTGAATTCTTCCCTAATTATTAACAATCCAATAATTAATAAGAAAGTTGTAAAAGGAGTTCATGGAGGATTAATTAATGTATTGAAACTTTTGAAGAATAATGGATTTCCATTCCCAGATGAGAAGGAGAATCACGTAGCTCGTGTTTGGATTGATTATTGTAAACAGTATTGCAATGTTGATGTGAAATCTCTGTATGGACAATCAGCAGTAAGAACCATTGATTTATCACATAGCAAGACCAAGTACAGCAATGATGATTCCTCTTCCTCAACAACAGAAACAACATCATCCAATAAATAATCGTATAATTAACTATAATATTATTAGTCATTGCCAATATATAGTACGCTGTAGCAATAAACGAGACAAATGTGATCACGTAATTTCGTTTTATTCGACTTGATAGATAAAATAGTGTAGGGGCGGTGGTGTAATGGTAACATCGCAGCCTCCAAAGCTGTGGCCGGGGGTTCGATTCCCCCTCGCCCCCTACATTTTGCTTTTTTCTTTTTAAAATTATTCTATTAAGCTTTTCTCGTACTCTTAATTTTCAATTCCAATTGTCACTCTTCAAACTTGAAAAATTAGCAAATTATTTCAAAAATATTTTTCAAAATTTTATCTTTAAAACCAAAAAGTAATGAATCATCTCCAACATCTCCAAATATCAACAAACATGTAACGCAAGAACAATATCTCTCCCATCAACACTTATCTTTTTTTATGACAGCAACCGCTATGACAGCTGCTGACCTACAAAAATCCAAAAAAATGTCATTTAGAAACAAGACGAATCCGCCTAAAGTATGCAAATGTCTTCCTAAAATTCCATTCGAAGTGTTGATTGGTTGTTTTCAAGAGAGTGAAAGGGTTTCGTTTCAAAGTGCTTCAAGTTTTTATTCGAATGCTTTTGGTCAAGGAAGACGAAACACCTTTTCTGGAAAGAGTTGTCTGTATCGAACTGTAGACTTACGAACAAAATTTGAAGAATATCTTTACGATAACTTGCCAATATTCGACAGTGAAGTCATTTGTCAAAAATTACAATTTCTTGACATTTTCTGTGAGTCAATGAAAATCAAAGGAAAACCTCTCTATCACATTAGAGATGTCTTTTCACTTTGCAATACTTATCTTTATGAACTCATTAAGGGTATTGAACAAGATGGTTCTGTCATTATCCACAACAATAGTTTGGAATATTCCTTCCTTAAACAGTTTAGTTGTGTTGTGAGTGAGAATGAAGAGTTGTTGCCAGTTTTTTCCAGTCATGAATATTTGAAGAGTTGGTTTAGTAAGAAACAGAAAGAATTGTTGGAATGGAAAGTGGACGAAACTTTTCAGCACACAACTGAGGAATATCAAGATGATCAACTTGGCATTTTGATCACCATGTTTGTCAATCAAATGCATGGACATTTCTTATATTTCCAAGAAAAGAATTCCAAATATTGCAAAAAATGGATGCAAGAAAACATTACAGAGCTACCGAAACATTTATTCGAATGTCTAAAAAGTGCTGCAGAAAAAACACAAAAATACAGAGATCATCTTGCCTACAGCCACAACGATGGCTTTTCCATTCCCAAAATTATCGATGCAGATTTTGAGATTATCCACCACTTGTCGAATCTCAGAAGTTCCAGTTGGAAAATGCTTTCCATCAGCAAACTCAATGAAATTCTTTCATTTTCATCAACGGAGAATTTCACATCTTGTCCAAAAGGAAAAATTCACAAATTTGTATATTATGAACCTTACAATATTCTCCAGTTGACCAAAGCAATGTTATCATACAAATATGATCGTCCTTCTGAATTTTACAAACTTGGTGAGTGTCAAGAATATCAAAAACTAGATGTCAATAATTCTTCCAAAAAGTATTCGACAGTTGTCATGCCTGTCAGTTTACAACTCAACTCTATCCTGCCAAAACGTCAAACCACATCAATCTTTGCCACCAAAGCAAAATTCATCAATACTGAACTAGTCGAAACTACTTTCCTTTACAAATCATGCAATTCAGATACCAAGAATCCATACCTCACACTTGGTGGATTTATCCTACAAAAAGACGATACGAATCGAACAAGAATAATCGATTCGAAAATGTATCATTTTGGAGGAATTTTACAAACTGATTTTGCGTTGAGTTTATTTGTGGCAAAATCAAGGAAAGAGTTGAAACCGAGGGTTGAGTGGATGATGGAGAAGGTGAGGGAGAAAGGTTTCGTATTGGATGAAGAGAAGGAATTGGTGTGGAGAACGTTTTGTGAATATTGTAGAGAATATTTTAAGGTGGATCCGAATGAATTGGAATAAAGTTGTTGTTTCGAATAAGTTTAGGTTCCGGAAATTTGGTTTCGGATTAAAAGTTGATTGTAAATTATTTGGTGATTGTAAACTAATTAACTTTCAACATTATTTGTTTCTTATTAATATTGTCGTTTCCCGAACTAATGTTCAAGATTTTGAAGTTTAGTTTGTTTGGGCAATTCATGTCTTTTAAGAAATTTGATATTTCACGAAAGTTGACACGATGAAAAACGAAGAGAATCATTTTCAAACATTAAAAAAAAATAACTTAACAACCTATTCGAAATCCTATTCGAAAGGTCCATTAGAAATGTCGAGTGATGGTTATGAACTGTTAACGATTCCACTTGAAGCTGTTATTGGCTTTAAAAACGTTCTCTCCAAGAAATCTTCTTCCCAAACATTAAAATCTAGCCGAAGTGTTTCGTCCGCAGCCAAGACGAAACCTACACAATCTAACGTGGAAGAAATTCGATACAAATTCGAAGAATATATTTCTTCAGGTGAATTAGAAGAATCCTCACAAATTTCCCTTCAAAAACTTCAACTTTTGGATTGGTTTTATGATCCAAAAAGGAAAAGATCAATAACTGTGAAAAATCAAGTGGAATTATTCACAACATGTAATTCGTATCTGTTCGATTTGATTAAACAGAGTGATGAGTCAGGATTGATGATTCAGGAAGATCAGAGTGTGGAGTTTCCATTTCTGTCACAATTTGATGTCATTGTGCAGGAAAATCAAAAGATTTTGCCAATTTTTTCATCACACAAATATTCGAAAGAGTGGTTTTTGAAGAAACAACAAGAATTGAAAGAGTTTCAACAGAAAAGATCATCCACCTCGACAGGAATTGATCTATCGTCTGAAGATATTGCCAGGGATTATGAGGAATTTCAAGATTATCAATTGGATATTTTGGTTGTAATGATTATCAATCAAATGAAAGATTATTTCAGTTATTTCCATAATGAAAATGCAAAATATTGTAAAAAATGGTTGCAAGATAATTTGCCAATTCTACCAAAACACTTGTTTGAAGATTTAAAGATCAAACATGACAGAATTCAAAAGTTTAAAGATTTACTTTCGTATAAGGAACAAGATATGGTCTATAGCACGATACTTGATTCAGATTTTGAATTTATTAAGCATTTATCTGAAAGTACATCCGATTGGAAACTATTCGAAAAATCTAAAATTAACTCAGTTCATGTCTTTACCTCAAAAGAGAATTACACGAGTGTTTCTGGCACAAAAACCATGAAATATGTCTATTATCATCCGTACGATATTCACAAAGCAAGTAAGGGGTTTCTCTCGTTTGATTTTGCAGAACAAGATGGCATGTTCACTTGTGGAGAATTTAGAGATTACAAACAATTGGATATTAACAATTCATCCAGAAAGTATTCAAGTGCAGTTCGTTCATGTACAATAGATCTAGGGAAATTCTTCTCCAAACGTCATAATGAAACTGTTGTGACTTCTAAGGCCAAATTCATTGGTAATGAGCTAGTAGAAACCATTATACTTTACAAATCATGTAACAGTGATACTACACAAAAAAACAAATTCCTAACTGTTGGTGGATTTATTATTCAGAAAGATGATGTTGACAGATGCAGAATCATTGATTTGAAAATGTTTAACATGGGTGGTTTTTTACAGAGCGATTTCATTGTAAACTTTGGAATTAAAAATCATTTGAAACAGATGGGACCCATGGTAAGTCAAATGATGAAAGAAGTTGAGGAAAGTAATTACAAAATTGATTCAGAAAACAAACCAATTTGGAGAACATTTTGTGATTATTGTAGAGAACATTACAAAATTGATGCTAACCTGCTTGAATAAATTGGGTAACCAATTTAATCTTTACTGAAAGCGTGACATGAAAATGATTAGTTTTTATCCTTAATTGGTTGAATAACATTTTCATATAGTAAATTGAACATTTTGGTGAAATTGCAAATGTCAGATTTACCCTCATTCTCAATAACATCCTTCAACAATTGAATAATCACATCAAAATTATTAAATTCCTTCATTTTCTTATTGAGTTCATTCAATTTTAATTCTTAAATTTCCATTTTCCCATTTAAATATTTCAGAAATTGAAACATTACAAACAATTGCCAAAAATAATTGTGACAAAAAAGCAATACTATAATAATCATGTTCTTTTGTAAATTGAATTAATTCATTTGTTAAATTGGTGAATCTACTTTTGTGTGAATTGAATTACATGATTGATCACACTCCAAGGTATCACATCACTTGTTAATTATCTACCATCATGTCATTCCAAAAGCTATTTTAAAACTGACACAAAGGTCCAAAAAAAAATACAACAACAACATCTTTACACACCATTAACAAAATAGTTTCGAATGTCTTTCAACAGTTTCAACCTACTCACAAGCGATAACGATACCGATCAAGAAATAGAATCCACTTCTCACAAGCAAGAAAATGCTCCTTCTACTGATGAAGATTTCACTACTTCTGAAGATTATAAAGGTTTCCAAGTTTTAAAAAAGAAAAGTAAAGGAAGGAAACATCCTTTCCGTGCAGAGAACAAGTCAGAGTCAGCTCTTAAAAACAAACTCAAGAAAGACTCTGATTTGAATATGCATCATTCCCAAACAACTGAGAACAAGTCAGCTCTTCAAAACAGTTTACCAGAACAACTCAAGAAAGACTCTCAATTTGTGGTAGTTGACAAGTACCTTGCCAGTGGTAAAGTGCAGTTACATTCCATTGTTACCAAACCAGAAAATTTTAAAACAATGTATGTGATTTATGATTCTAGTTGTGATCTAGCACTTGGAGACGAGTTACAAATTACACAAGATTGCACAAGTTTATCCTCCACTACCTTTACAAAAATTAATACAGAAGATACTCAAGGATGTATTGTTTCCTCTGGTTTGCTTATTATGAAAGAAGGAAAGGGATTTTTCATGGAGAATAAGTTTTCATATGGAAAAATTACTTTTTCCTACATGATGAAGGAGCTAGACAAGGATTTGACCGAATTACCAGATGATATCAAAGAAGAATTTCAGCATTGTGTGAAACAGTTTACCGATGAAGAGATCAAACAACTGAAGGGAGCCATCAATCTCATCAACGAGGATATGCAGAAATTCATGATACCACATTTGTTCATTGAAAAAATAACTCGATTTTTCACAAGATTTAGTGAAGATTTGCAGAGATTAGATACTGAGCGCGATATAGATGAAGAAGGATGTGCTTTCAAAAACTTTTCTCCTCCAAAAGGAAAGCTAGAATCTGTAGAAAAACTCATAAGAAAGAAAACAGAGACTTTGGATTATCGTAAAAATAACAATCTTGATATGAAAATGAGATTTAAAATGTATGACATCTTAAGTGAAGATTACATTAAGGATATGAACGATCTATACCTTTGGAATGCAGTTATAGAATGTGTAGAAGAAACCAACTCAATTCCAACCGATCCCAATGACATGCTTTCTGGATTGAACTCAATTGATGTTCCACTCGTAAATCTCAACACAAGAATCAAAGGCAGACAAAATCGTCTTTTATGTAGACTATTTATTGTTAATGCTGACCATGATTTTAGACTAAACACAAAAATTAGAGACAAAGAGAGGAGGAAGAGAAGCGAATATAAAACGGAAGAAGTTTGGATGACTAAGGAAAATCTCCCAAAGAGCTTTTCCAAACTAGCAGAATTATTTCCTTAACATATTAACATGGATATTGCATAGATAATTTCCATCATGTGAAGAATAAATTCCACCACACTGCAAAACCTGAAAAGGGCCATATTGCAGATATTGGATGATCATTGGCTTAATTGTTTGTGTTCCGAAATCATAAAAAATGTCCAAACTTGTCTTCAGCAGCAGCACTGATGTATCACCTCAAGAAATAACAAGAGAAAAGAACAAAGAATCCGATGACGAGGAAATAGAAATTGAAGAAAAGTTTCAACGAAAGGAATTGTTGTCTTCATCCAATACATCTAATAGAAAAATGAGAAGAAGAGGCTCTGTGATGGTTTATGAAAGTTTTTTCTCATCAGAAAATAATATCCTCAATATTTACCCACAAGCGAAAAGTAATATCCAAGAATATTTCAAAAATAGTGAGTTCAAGTTTGAAGAAGAAATTAGTATTACAAAATCAATTTTTGAAAAAGAAACAATGCATTTAGTTCTTGTCCCCTATTCGAAATTGAATGAATTTGATTTGAATTCATGTTCCAAAGTAATGGTTCTTGGTTTTTTAGTACTGACCAGTTTGCAAGGTTTTGTTTTCAAAATCAATAGCAAAAAGCTGCAATTTCAAAAACAGGATCCAAATACTGAAGAAGAACAAACTGACAATGATGATGAAAGAAATTCATCCAATAAGAGAAAAAGAAATATGAAAGAAAATGGATCAAAGAAAAGAAAAGTTTCAACAATCACCAAAGAAATTAATTACTCTGATAATTTGAAAGAAATACTTCAAGAATATGAAATTAATGGTAAAATTGCTACGAAAATAAGAAATGATGATAAGGTAGCTCTCTATTTTAAACTTGATAATGGGTTTTTAAAGATAATTCACTATTTTGATAATAGTTCAGAGAATGTGAAAGGCATGCAAATTATCAAATCCATTCAGCATGACAATATTAATCAGATTTTTCAATTTAAGAAACTGTCCATAACTAGCTCACAATTAGATGAATTGTTTTTTGAAAACATTTCAGTTACAACCAAATCAGAACCAACAATATTTGATAGAGGATGGATTATCGTTGAGAATAAATTTCAACACTTCCACATAGGTTCCACAACAGTCAATCACTCGAACAGTATTCAATAACATTTTCACAATTTGTTGGTGATATTATTACTTTCATTATTTACCTGAACCAAAAAGATTTGAATACCAAATTATTATGTTTTATCAAGTTAATGATGGATGCTATTGAAGCAGTTAATATATTACATGAAAATAATATTATTCATTGTGATATTTCAATTAGAAATGTTGGCATGTTATTTACAAAACATGTCATGACATCATATGCCAAAGAAAAAAGCTCAATATTGGAAGCATTGCCAAATGTTTCAAACTGTAATTTCATTTTGATTGATTTCAATCATTGTAAAGTGGAAGGACAAGAACAAGCAACATTGAACATTTTTCCAGAATGTAATTTTAAAAAAGAAAATATTTTCTTTCCATTTATATCAGAGGCATACTATCCTACAGATGAATTGGTTCAATTTACAAAAGAACATGATTATTATAGTATTGCTTTAGTTTTGTCACAATTATTTTTGGCAATTGTTTGTAATGTTTCAATTTCTGAAATATTTAAATGGGAAAATGGAAATTTAAAAGAATCAGTATTGAGCGAACTCAATAAGAAAATGAAGGAATTTAATAATTTTGATGTGATTATTCAATTGTTGAAGGATGTTATTGAGAATGAGGGTAAATCTGACATTTGCAATTTCACCAAAACATTCAATTTACTATATGAAAATGTTATTCAACCCAATTAAGGATAAAAACTAGTAGTAAAGTATACATCATTGTTGCAACAAATTTTGTTATGATATAATGTGTGAGTATTATTTATTGAATGAAACATTTCTTCTTTTCATCATCAATTTCCGAATCAAATTGTGAATCTTCATCAGCACCACCACTCTTTGATTGCTTCTTCTTCAATCTCTTTCTATATTTTTCCATCTTTTTTTCATATTCCTCAACTTGTTTAAAGTATGAATCTGGTGGCCATTTGTTTTCAGTAACATGTTTCAGATTTTCACCTGTCAAAAGTTCCCATTCCCTTCTTGCTTTCATTGGACCATAATTTGTAGAGATGAAATGGAGACAAAAGTTGGCCAATTGATTGGCTTCATAAGTTTGAGCTAGTAATAGTAGACCTATAATGTCAATGTCAGCTTTTTCAATTCCTTGAGCAACTGATTTGTCAATATTTTTCGAGATGAAAATTTCACACATTGAGGTCAATCCAGACATGCCATATTCGTTGGCCAAGCTCAACAATCCAACAGCATTTCTTTCATTGATGGTAGAGTGAGCAGAGTACAGATATTCGAATAGGGCGTGGAATTCACTTATTCTATTCTCATTCTCACCAATTTCACCACTCAAATCTACTTGCCTTGATGAGTGCTCTACGAAATTGCCCTCAAACATTGTTCTGAATACATCACAATTAGCAGAGAGGAATAGTTTGTGTCCCTGAAAATTCTTGGAAGAATCAGTTGTGGAAAAGACAATTTCGACATCGGAGTGAGTTTTCTTATCAAAGTACTTTTTCTTAATTTCACTACCCAATAGATCATTAAGATAGGTTTCAATACTTTCATTGAACACATCTTCCTCTCCTCTCTGGTAATTACTGACTATATTGTCAGTGTATTCACATTCAAAGATGGTAGATGCAATCTTGACCTTATTGAGAAATTGATCTTTTTTACACCTTTCCAGCATAGTTTCCGATCCTCCATAATATTGGATTTCCAATAGGGATTTGAAAGCCCTATGATGAATAGTGTTGGAGAGTCTGAATTTCAATATATTCGGCTCATTCTCATCAATAGAGACAGATGAGAAACCACTCACTCTACCTCCATTAATTTTGGCACTCAATTTTTCAAATGCTTCATGTGAATAGCTATTCATTCCAGCATCTCTACACACCAATACGTCATCGAATAATTTTCTAATAACTTTGGAGGGAACACAAGCCAACACCAATGAATGGGCCTTAATTTCCACATCAATGTCCTTAGTGGAATTGTAAATAACAAACTTGGTATCACAGCAAAAATCACTATCCAGAAGGTTTTTAAAACCCTTGCCATAATTTGAGCTTTCCACATAAATCCAAGGAGCTTTACCAGCTGGAGGCATTACAGGAGGAGTTGGTTCAATATCTTCAGAGTTTCCAATCACTACCTTCTTTCTTCCTTTTTTTGAAGATTTGGACTCGTCAATTGCTTGTGAAATTGCCAAATTGAAGAGTTTATCAATATTGTACATGGTTCTAGAGCTTGTAACAATGGATCCTGAAGCAGGTGAGTTCTGTACCATTTGCTCAATCATTTCCTGAGTGATTATTGAGTCACGATCCGCATCAGAGACAAGATCACTCTTACACCCAACCAATATGATCTATTTGAATAGAAAGGGAATATTAAATGAATACATTGGTATATGGAATGGTCAACTTACTGGAATATCAGGACAGTGATGAATCAATTCTGGAATCCATTTTGATTTGACATTTGCAAATGAAGCTCGATTGACCATTGAAAAACTGAATCATTTTGTTAGAGAAATAACCACTGAAAAACATACCAAACAAAGAAGACATCAGTTCCTGGATATGAAAGAGGTCTCAATCTGTCATAATCTAGTCAATTGTCAAATTGTCACAATTATTAACAACAATTTCAACATACCTTCTTGACCAGCAGTATCCCACAATCCAACATTATAATTTCTATTTCCATATGTCACATTAGCACTCTTCCGAAATCAATTTAACTGTCATCAAATTACTTACGTAATTGTCAAAAACTGTTGGAACATAATCTTCGGGAAATGAATTTGTGGTGGAGGCAATCAAAAGACAACTCTTTCCGACGGCGCCATCACCAACAACTACCAATTTCAAGCTATTGTCCATTATTATGTACACGTTGATGTGAGTTTGTTATTTTTTTTTGATTTTGTTTTCAAAGTACCATTGAACAAGGAACTCTTACAAAAATTTGATTAATGATTACTTTATTCAGATTTAAGATCATAATTAAAATTCAAAAACAACTTTATTAGTAGGATAGTTTGTAAACTTCAATTTCTTCAACTTTGCATTTCAACAATCTATAAAAAAAATAGTCAACATTCTTCTACTCTAGGAGGACATGATGATTTTCGGAGTGGTTTTACATCATGAAACTACCAAACTTTCACAGCATCATCTCAACATCATCTAAATAGTAGTAATAGTAATAATTGTTTTTGGTGGATTATCATCATCATTTTGGAATTTATTTTTCATGATGGAAAATCACACGTTGATGTTTAATCATCCGATCATTCACCTACCATCATCAATGTTGTTTTACATTAAAATA